GTATATGAATGGAAAATATGAAAACGTTGAGGAGTACGAGAATATGAAAACGTTGGGACGTACGGAAATAGAAAAAGTTTGAAAAACGTACGGATAATGTAAAACGTAATTCAACATGATCCTAGCATCTTCAAGTTCTTGCTCCGATCCTCCTTTTTTGAACCGTTTGATCAATCGAATGAGTTTTTGACGTTCTAAGATTAATCAGTACAGTCATTGAAAACTCATCCTTCATGGGTTATCTCTACAGTAAAAAGAGACAAAGCCCATGCTGAACAAGGATTTCGTGGTACGCCCCACGCCCCTCCCCTCCCCCCGCACCGGCTCGAGCATTTCAAGGACTGATCAAGAATCGTACGAGGGGAGCAGCGGAAGAGAGAGATAGGGCTTGGGTGATGATATCAGAAATAATTGTAAAAGGCGAGACTTGACAGGAGAGGATGTAGAAAAAACCAGGTCAGAGGGATCTGACATACCGAAAAATTTCACCATATGATATTTTGATCCGTTTTTCTGTTCTAAACCCTTTCGTTCAGCCACGGTGAGATCAGCTTCGAGAGCTACTAATCTACGTTCTGTCGCTATCCTTTTGCCAGGTTCTAAGTTATCCTAGGAAGTCAGCCTGGGTGATAGAGGCTGGGTTCGATAGCACCAGGTCCTATAAGCGTATGATATCCGGTTAGTCGGAGAGTGATGAGAGGATGAAGCGTTTGCTCCTGCGTGAGTCCAAACTATGAAAAGATGGAACTCTCAGTAAAGACATAGATCTCCACGAGGTGATGTAAGGATCGGAGTAGGTAGCAAGAAGGGATAGAAGGGGGAAGGGGGAAAGAGGGAGAAGGAAAAGAAAATAATCTCACCTTGGCTAATAACCTCTTTGTCTGTCTGATAGAAGCTTTAAGTTTACTCACTCCTGGTCGACCATCCGGATCTCTTCTCTCCATAGGAGGTGGTTTATTTTTACTTGGACCTGCTGTTCCTTTCTGTCTGTCGTTCTGATTACGTCCCATAGTGATTGATGTGCTTCGGACGGTCACCAGCTCTGAAGTGTGAGTAGCCAGTTCGTATCCAAAACGATCAGGAAGGAAGGAGTTGAAGAAACTTACTATAGTTGTTGAGTCACGTGACGTGTTTCACCACCGCCTCTCGACTCTTTCTCCCCTCCCTTTCTCCCCACAGATCTATCCTCACTCTACCATACACCTGCTCATGCTCTTAGAGATAGTGAGATAGGATGGACGAAGAAACTTCCTTCGCCAATATACTAGCACAATCCACTTCTCAACCCAAACCCACATGGACAACAACAGCAGAAGATCCATGGGCCAACCCATTCGCAGAATCTCCCACTAACGCATTTTCTTCACCCTTTGGTCAGACCTCCGCATACATCCCACCCCTCGACAGGAACGATCTCGAACTACAACAAGAAGATACGAGTCCTTACGTTCAAAAAATTCAAGAAGATGAATTCAGAAGTGTGATACCTGATCCTCCTAGTGTCATCGCCGCTCGTGAACAAGCTTCTATCTATGGTGCGCACCCAGATGATGGATTTGGTCAACAATATGAGCCAAACCCTTCCATGTCTACGGTACCTCATTTCAGCCCAGATAATGTAATGGACGAGATTGTAGAGGATAAATTTTCTGATGAGGGAAATTTGAAGGAGTCAGGACAAGGGAAAGGAGGTAGACGATTACCTAGCGATTTGATCGACGACGATTTATTAGCGGCGAATGATCCTTCTATAGCTTTGAAGAAAGCTTTCGTCAAGTCAGGTCCTAGAATACCAGCGCAAGAGCCAACGGGCTCATCGCCAATTCGGGAAAAGCCAAAAGCGTATGTGTTTAAATCGAACATGAAGGAGTCTGAACCTGTTAAATCGGAGGAGAAGAAGGTGGAAAGTGTTCAAGTGCAAAATGAACCGAGTTCCACTATTTTGAAGGAAGTGAAGGTAGAAGATGACAAGGGAAGAGATCACGTAGAACCCACGAAGGATGTTGAGACTCCGCCGGTGGTAAAGGTCCAACCTGAAGCTGAAGTACAAAACAACGACTCTATCGAACACCCTAAGACCCCTGAGAAGTCTGACATAGACACCGAGATTCCCGTCGAAAGGAAGAATGACCAAGTTCCTAAAGCTACAACCATCCCCCTACCCGAATCATCCGCGCCTACACCAGTTGGTTCAAGACCTTTCACCCCAGCACTCGCCGAGAAACCAGACGGACCTCACAGATCCTCAACAGAAGAAACCATCATTTCTCCCACTAAATCTATCGCCCACACTCCTATTACAGACCGTGTGGCCGTATCTCCCCTTGACCCACCTGCCTCGGTGTCAGACTACGGTTTCAAAGCGTTGTCGATTGGAGGAAGTGCCCCACCTGTCAGTGCTTCCTCGACTTGGCAATCTGACTCAAATACATTGGTCACGCCTATATCATCGACAACTGCGTCTCGTTTTGGCGGACGAGGCTGGGGTGCGTTGGATGACAATGAGGATGATGGGTTATTTGGAAAACCTCGAGTCTCTCATAATGGATCAGATCCGTGGGGAGAGGGAATTCCAGGTTCTAGCGGATGGGGAGAACCACCGCTGACAAGTGCCGCGTCTTCTTCTTTCAGAGTAAGTCATCATTCTTCTGATAATCGATCAGCTTTGCAAGTTGATGGGATGTACGAGGTCAAGGAATGAGATAGAATACCGTCGCTGACTCATAGTCTCCTGAAGCGGATTCTTCCACGTCTAGCTCACCTGTCACTCCCATCGACCAGTCAAATCAACCGCACACACCTCAAACACAGACCAATGGAACTGCCAGAACCCCGGGATCGGTGAAAAATCGATTAGCCTCTCAACCTGTATTCTCCATCACCGTCGGTGATCCCACTCGAATGGGAGATCCAGTGAGAGGATACACAGTATACACCGTTCGAACACGAACCACTTCACCTCATTACGCCCGAGGGGAATTTTCAGTCTTACGTCGTTTCTCCGACTTTTTATGGTTATTCGACGCTCTCACTTTGAATAACCCAGGAATCATCGTTCCACCCGTCCCTGATAAACATCCATTTGGAAGATTTCAAGATCAATTCATAGAAACACGTCGTATGGCTCTTGAACGTTGTTTGGCAAAGATAACAGCTCATCCTGTCCTTCAATTGGATCCAGATCTAAGATTATTCTTAGAAAGCGATAGTTTTGCCGTTGAATCAAAATCACGTCGACAGGAACCTGTAGTTGATAAATCTGGTATATTAGGATGGGGTGGACCTAAATATGTGGAACAAGATGAATGGTACGATTCTAGAAGATCTTTTTTGGATATCCTTGAATCACAATTGAAAGCATTAGCAAAATCTATAGAAGTAGCTTCAAAAGCGAGATTGGAAATGTCTACCGCTATTAATGATTATGCGGAATCTATCACCGCTTTGGCGGAGAGTGATTTAGGTTCAGCTATGTGTTCTGCTTTAGCAAGATTGGCAGATTTAGCTAAAAAGGAGAAAGAAGGAGCGGAAGAACAAGCGAAAGGGGATGTGGTCAATTTACTCAATTTATCCGATGAGTATGTGAGGTTTATAGGAAGTGTGAGAATCGCTTTTGCTGGTAGAATAAAAGTTTGGAGTCAATGGCAAACACAAGAGAAAGAGGTGACTAGGTTGAAAGTTGCGAGAGAAAAAGCTAGACAACAAGGAAAGTTGGGTGATAGGGTTCAACAAAGTCTACAAGAGATTGCGCAAGTGAGTGAAATACCACGGTTTTTTTCTTTTCTTTTCTTCATCATTAAGGGAAAAAGAGCTTGGTGTGAATAAAGGAAAGAGATTTCATCATGCTGACTCTTTAGGCCGAACGTAAAGCTCGTGATTTAAATTCGGAATTGGACACAGTGACCAAACTCACCAAAACTGAATTTACGAGGTTTGAAAGAGGTAGAGTCGAAGAGTTTAAACGTGTTCTGAGCAATTATCTCGAATGTCAAATTTCAGCGCAGAAGGATATGGTGGTTGCTTGGGAAGAATATCATGGGGTGATTTTGAAAATGGTCAAAGTGAATGAACAAGCGACGGTTTCGTAATGTGGGATGATGTGTGAACGATGACTCGTGAGGAGTAAGACGAGAGGTTGTATGTATATACTTGATATGAAATTTGATGTTGATTCATCACTATTGTTCACATTGAAGTACAAGTAGAGTATGGATCATCGAAATTGATTTATTGTTCATTACTTGTGTTCCCAAATTATGCTCGGGTTGAGCTTTCTAAGTAATCAGATTCTCGTCAGGGAGTAGAGTGAAGTACGAATAGAGTATAGTATATTCATGACAGAACTTTTCGAAAGTCATTTTTGATCTAGATACAAGTATCCAAGTAAGGATCGTCTGACAAAAACCCAAATGGTCGAGTTAAGGGATGATGAGTAAAAACATGATATGAAGAGATTCAAATAAAACCCACCATGCATATCGTGTACTGTACCTATCTTATAACTTTCATCCATAACTCTCAACAAACTTGCCACATTTTGACACTATCTATACCGAATCCTCTGACGGTAGGATCAGAAGACCAATTTTGAGCCCACCATTTACCTTTTGCAAGCCAAAAATCAGACATTGAAGTACCTGAATCATCTAACCATGGTTTACCTCCTTCTCCATCAGGAAACCAACCGTCTGTTCCTCCTACTCCTAATGATAAGACGAGGTAGAATGCTGATATGTCAGGAAAGTTTGGCTTTTTTTTCAATTTCATTCTAACTTCTTCCTGGGAAAGGCATGATATCTCAAGTGCAAACACGTCAAATAGACGGAAGGAAGTGCGGGGGGAGATACTATTTTGGTCCTTGGGTTGATCATGTGCCAAAGCAGTACTTAAGACGATCAGAGTTCAAGGAGAGGAGATGAGTGAACAATTACGAGATTAGAACGGAATGAAGCTGCCGGCCAAGGACGAGTCCATTGAGATGTAAATGATATAGCCAGGGAAGGGCGAGGGGTGAGAGCGGATGGTGAGGGGGGAAAACGACTACTCACGTTGATCAAAAGGAGCAACGTTATTTTCACTCTGTATCCAAGGATTTATAAGTTTTTGTACATCTCCAGTGGTCGTGTTAGTTATCGTACTTGGGAAATTTCCTCTTTTCCAAAAGCTTTCTTTGTTGAATCGGAGAGATATGACTTGGGAAACACGAGAATCGATATCTACAACGTTAACATGCTATCGACAGCCGCTTTTCAATCTCCTTCCGCTTTTCTTCGCATCTCACAACTTTCACTGTTCTTTCTGGCTAGTTTTCCCAAGTTGTTACTCCTTGTCTCTATTTCGCTCACGGTCCGCGAACCATCCTGTATCATCTGATGGCGCAATCATGCAGGGTCAATAGGGGGAAGGACATGAGATTGAAGAACAAAGAAGGACAGGGAAGAAAAGGGAAGACAGGAGAGAGAAAAGAAAAACGTCTCCACTCACAGGTCCACATGAACTTGTCATTCCATTCTAATCCAAAAGTATGCCATTTCTGATTATAATAAGTTCTTCTTTGTTCTCTATAACCCCAAGTCAGGTATAACCGATCTAAATCCGTATCGGGTCCTGATCGTTAACATCTTGAATTCCTCTTCATATTTTAACTTGTCACCACACTGATATGCTCCCGGATCTCATTCAAACCATTTGGCTCTTATGAGTTCGCCCTTTCAACACATGTTATGCAATGCTTTCCGGAAGAGAGATGAAAATAATGTGTCAACATGCAATTATGGGTATCCACCACATGCTGAAAGCTAGTCAAAAGAGACAGAAGAAATCAAATAATCACTCACCCCAATGTAGATCCGATTGAGCGTAATCCACCCCTCGATTAGGATACGAAGCGTTATTTCCCCTTGCCGTTAAGATATCAATTTGACCACTTCTTGGCCAAGCTCCATAAGTTTCATTGACAGGTAACAAAGTGATACTAGGCCATAACCAATCCCCAGTTGGAAATCTAGCTTTGACTTCCACTTTTCCATACTTCAACGAAACCGAATTCCGGGTGGTTAACCTTGCACTTTGTACAGGGTTTATGACTGTTAATCGGGAGGAATTTGATATTGCCACACATTGTGATACGTTGGTAGAAGTACAAGTTCCATCGGCGGTGAGATTCAAAGTGTATCCGTTGGTAATTGCTTCGACACCAAGTTGATCGGATGTGAGAGTAGGTACTAGATAAAGAATACCATCTTGAGTAAAAGAGTTATTGGAGGATGAAGTTGTCCATTCGAATTCACCATGATCGTATCCGTCTAAACGAACTTCGTGTGTCCATAAAGAGGGATCGATACCGTTGGAAAAATCATCGTTGAGGACTAGACATCTGGAGGTTAGTCATAAGGTCGGATGAGAAAAAGGCGAATGCTTACAGTTTTCCCACGCTGGGGACGGAGGCGTAGCCGTCCCAACACACTGGGCGTTAGCATATTTTCCCCTCTGGCTTCCCTTTACTCCATCATACACGTGTGGTTCCTCCTTTTCATGGAGACATGTAACCGACAGACTGGCGATTTGTGAGGAAAGACGGGATCTGACTTCATCGCTGTCACTAAAGTGACTCAACGAGAGGCGGCGGAAGCAGTTTTAGAAGTGGGGGGTGAAGGATGATGAGGGGTCGGAAGAGAATGAGGAATGTCGGACGAAATACACTGTTGAGAAAACCCACGAATACCCGCAACGGCCAGACCGATGAAAATACTCGTCAACGTAATCCATCTAGCCCATCTTTGCGCAGGATCTGTCTTCTCCAACCAAGGTTTATATATCTCCCCTTTTAATCTCGTACTTTGAAACGGTTTCCTATTTGTAACCCCTCCAAAACCATTCCCGACACCGTGTCCATGTCCGTACCCATTCCCATGACCGTGTCCATGTCCCACCCCTCCCCTGGGTTTCAGATCTTTATTCCGGAAAGCCTTCAAACGTTCTTTCCTTCTATCAACGATAGTGGTCTTGTTCTCCACTGCAGTAGTCACTCCATTGCCCGATCCTTCCCTATTGAGTATTCCACCTACTACCCGTCCGTTCTCCTTGGAGAAAGGTGACGATGCGGGGATATGCGGTGAAGTCGGGGATGGATGAAATGGAGATGTGATAGTTGGTATTGGGGCAGGAGAGTCGAACGATGGTATATCCCCTGAAGCTGGGGAATCAGGAAGAGAGTTGATCCTAATTTTCGGTGGAGCGGTAAGCACTATCGTTTCTTCCTTTTCCACATGTTTATGAAATGGCCCTTCCGTGGAAGTGGAAGTGTGAGGGGGTGCAGGCTTCCCATCAGAGTTAGCGGTGGGTGTGGTCGGTGTGGTCGGTAAAGAGGGTAGAAGAGTTGGATGGAAATCATGGAATGGATTACTCCCATCTCCTTCGGGTGTGAGAACGGTAGGGGTATTATCACCCGATGCGTCGTTTAAAAGAGCAGTAGCGGAATTCGAGGATGATAACAATGGTCGGACCGGAGCTACTATTCGTGGGGAGAATTCAGCTCTGACAGAATCGGATGAAAGACCAGGTCGATGACCTTTGTAAGTGCTTGGTCTACGAGAGGGGTGGAGGCTGGAAGCGACATCGATGTTGATTCTCATGTTCGAACTTTCCCCAGATGGACGTCTTTCGGAGTTTAAGCGATTGTGAGAGAAGGAGGCGCCTGATGTAGGAGTGGGATTGCTCCATTGTGATCCTCTACGGCTACGGCCTTGATTAGAATCTGGTGGACTCTGTCTGCTCGGCATGTTGGTTGGGGAAGGATCGCTCGATGCTGTGGAAGTCTCGGCAATGGGCAGTTCTGCCGTGTCACTCGAACTGATTGACGGATTACCGGCACTTGTCTGACCGATATTAACAGTAGTAGAAGATTGAGGAATGGTTTGGCGCGAGGGAGAAGACGAATCGCCCATCTGTGTGACTAGCGGTGAGGTTTCAGGATTTTGTGAAGACATCCTGACTCTGCAAAGTAGAGTATCAACGATACTCGTATATCTCACCCTTGTCGAAGGATCCGCAAGAAACCACACTCTGGTGTTTTGTCACAAATCTCTTCGTTCGAATGAAGACACACACGTTCAGGCTTCATCGCCCCTCGTCTGTCCGGTTCCAACATGGCTCTCTAGTCAGCAGGTCAGGTGTGGGTCAGTCACCCTACATTCGTGTGCCACGTCTTCTAAGCCCCGGATCTGCGGCAAGGGACTTTCAGGAAGAAACTTCGGGGCTAAGGAGAATTAAAAATGAACATACCTCTTCCGGCTGACCACCATGCGTACCTGAACAATCCCCGAGAGGTCGCCTACAACAACGGAACGGCGCGTCAACGAGTAGATGTACTCTACTCGTACCCGTACAGAATTTTTGGGCTGGTGTCATGTGATCAACAGGTATACATTAACGGGTCATGCCTGTAATGAAGCTGTAGCCACTCGGAAAACAGCAACAAAAAAAGAACACCTGCACGTCAGTGGAGTCTGTCAGCCATGCAAGGCGTCGGAACCCCGCCGAGAGATGACGTTCATCACAGTACGAGCTCGTTTACTATCCGAATCGTGATACGCCAGTACACTACACCTCTACTACTCTAATCACGATTTCAGTCCGCCTTCTTGTCCGACACGTTACCGGCCTGACCGGTCAGCTCAATGGGACCACCATATACAAAGTGGACCTACCGCCTTGTTGTGCACATCTGCCAAACGGTTGTACTCTGCGTTCTGCTGTGCGGCCTGCTTTTTCAGAGTTTCTGTAGGTCAGCTGGTCTGGTCTCTGGACAGTGTCACGTCTACTCAACCATGTAGAGCCATGAAACACGTAGTCTCACGCCTACTATGGGGCGCTGATCACTGCCTTATCGGACCGACTGATCTGAATAAAGGAGGTCTGACTCACCAAAGTCCCTGTCTTTGGCTGCGCTCTTCGCCAGCTCAGATTCAAGTTCCCGAACCCGTTTCCTTAACTCTTCAGCCTCACCGCTCGCCCCGCTTTGTCTCGCCGTCTTTTGTTGCAATGCTGAGTAACTCTCTTGAACGTGAATGAAGTCTAAGATGATGTAAAACACCCGGGCAAGCAGCAGCGACAGGAAAAGTGTTGCTCCGGTAAGATACACTGCCAATCAGTCTTATTCTATGACCTCTCCCAAGCTTGCGTCCTCTTCAGTGCTCTTGTGAGCCGTCAACACGACATTTGAGCCGGAGCTGGCTCACGATTGCGTTGTGCGTAGAAACGTCGAGCCGCACTGATGGTCAGCTGATGGCCGAGTGCCTCACCCATAAATCTCACTAATTGGTCTCTGTCCTCACATCCGCCATCTCCTGTTTGGACTTTGCAGTAGCTCCTGACCACTCAGCCAAATCCTACCTACTTCATCAAGTGTGGCTCACCTTCTTGAGCAATCCGGACCATACGTTGAAGAGCATCGACGAAAAGCACCGCTACGAATCTCTCTCGTTAGCTCAGTGTACAACGTTGGCAGCTAGAAGCTCACATGAATGTTATTTTCAGCTGTCATGAGGTTAGATCATATCCAGTGCGAGTGCAAAGCGGAACTTACTCCATACTGAATCTTGGCCACCTTATTTATGAGCTACTCCGTCAGGACTCTACGTGAAGTGACGTACCACTGGGTTTTCACTGAGGAAGTGAAACAATCTATACGATCAGTCAACACGTTTCATGATATAACTGCATCTCCTCAGATTGGGGGTAAAGGAGAGGGCTGACTTTTTGCGTAAGGTGAATGGCATAGGGCAGACGATGGTACAAAAGAGCGCCAGCTCAGACATGAGCAGACCGAAACATACTGTCACATCAGCTTTACTCGGACTACTCAGGCTCAGTAGCGGGGAGGATACGCACAGGAGTAATAGAGCTAGAAGAGTCAGCATCAGCAACAAGTGAATCTCGCTGTTCACACGGCTTCTCCGGCGGTACAAAGTTCCTCGTAGGACAAGTAATTTCTGGTGCGAGCCGGAAGTGAAGCTGATGACTGGTACTACTCACCGTCATTGTTTCAGATAGCTATAGGCTTGTCGTTGATTGATCGTGACCAGAACAGAAGAAGGAGGAGACAAGAAGGGAGATGCAAAGTATGCTGGGGTTGGATGGAATGCGGGTTAGGTGCGTTGCATCAGATGAATCTACGTCATCTCGAATGTGCCACTCGGTGTCACTTCCCACTTAATCCCGCAAAACGCCGTCTCAGCCATGCCAGCTGGTGTTCACCATGTTACTCAAGTGCTGACAACAACCATGCTAATTTCGAATCACAACTGACCGTTACCCGCAGCTAGCCAGCTTCCCATTGGCCATTGGACGTTGGAAATAGCAGGAATAGACTGGAGTAATTGAAAGTTCGTGACGATAGCGGTGTGAACAACATGGCGAGCTCCTCTTCCTCCGGGTCAAGCCTCCAAGTGAGTTCATCTCTTCTTGGATCTGCTATAACATTTCGGACTCGTCTCTCACACACTAACTATAAGGCATGATAAGGAGATCCGAAAAACGCTCTCTGCTCTCATGCTAATACGTAGGCTTTTGAGTCTTTACTCTCTACGACCATTCTCGCTCCGAGACTTTCCGGCTCTAAAGTTCAAGAACTGACCAAACTCTCAAATCAGCTCGCAAATCAAGACTCACAATTGGTCACAGCTTTCTACAAATTGAACAAGGGTTTACCTCCTTGTTCACAAGCTCGAATCTCAAGTCTTTATGTGTTTGACGCTATCGCCCGTGAGGCACGCAAGAATGTTGACAAGGCTGGAAAGGGACGTCCGGTTGGATTGTTGGTCAAAATGGAAGGCGTTGTGGATAGTTGGGTAGAGGGAATGTTACAAGATGGAAAAGGGGGAGTATGGGCGGAAGGTCGAGTGAGTTTTCGAAACGTTTTTTTTACTTTGCCGCTCTCTCCATCTTCTCTTCCACTCACTACCTCCATTGCATCCTATCACAGGCATGAGCTCGATGGATATCACCTCATTTCAGAAATTAGACGCACGTCACATTCATCATGAATCATTCGTTTCCTCATCAGGCTCTTTCTTTCGTGCCATTTCACCGTTAGAGCAATGAATTGATGAATACTTCACGTGGCTGACATTTCAGGAAAAGACTCGAAAGATAATCGATATCTGGAGCAAAACCACTACTTTTCCTCAACCGACTTTGGAAAGATTATCAGTCAAGATACTCAAAGCTCAACCTAGATCAACCACCCCTAATTACCCTCCACCTCCACCCATGTCACCCGCCTTACCCCCGTTACCGCCTTTGGAAGGAAACACAGGTACAGAAAATGGTACAGGTCAAGGGGACATAATTGGTGCAGGTGAATGGTCATCTCTTGTCATTTCTTTCATCATGTGGTTTATTTGGTTTGACCATGTCTCTACTGTCCACTCTTTCCCTTCAGACAATACAGACATCCCGATCATTGTCAAGCCCCGAGGTAGACCGATATGTAGTCCCTCCGACATGGGCATGCATCGTGTGGGCTGGGTTAATGGTTTGACCAAAATTGGCTCGAACCTGTGCCTATGGGTGTGGCAGTGCACAAACTACCTGATTGGAGATCACTCTGAGATTCTTTCTATGGATAGGCCCCTCCCCTCTCTGCATTCGTTTGGACCTCTCTCCATTCTGACCTCATGCCATCCAATTGCTTCTCCCTCGTCCCCCTACTTTCCACCATTCTCCATCCACCATCTCATCACCCACCGGCGTCTCCACATGCCCCCTTCTCCCCGATGTCCCCAAAACGGCCCTCTTCTAAAGTCAGGGTGCCCACCTGGAGAGGTGATACGCGGAGAACGTTGTGGCACTGTGTGACATGTGGCAGTTCCCGTGTGGCACGTGGAAACGTACATAATGATAAGAATAAGGAGAGACGCTGAGACATGGCTAGATACAAAATCACCAAACACAAAACCCGGGTCTTTACCACCTGAAATCCGGAAATTATTAGGGATATCAGAACCGGTTCCTGATTCTACACAGTGAGTGATTTTGTTATCCCTCGCCTCGAAATTCGTCAGCTTCAGGAACATCGTCTACTTGTGTCTTCGAAATTCCGACAGTGTCGTGACATTCTTCAACCATGTCATTCATTGCTTTCTCTCAAATCTATCAAACCTTCTCCGTACACATCAGACTTTAAAAGTGTCTAGATCCCATACTACGTCTCTGAAACTTCTCCAAAGTCTCTCATTCCTACTCCTCATACATCACAGACTTTCCTGGACCTAATCAATTGGCACCATCTCAGACACCTATCTCCAGTTATATGCTCCTTCTTGGGGCATGAATCATACTTCGTATGCCGAAAGAACGTGTGAATTGATTATAGACAACCTTCCGGGAAAACAGTAGACATAGCTACTTTACTCGCAAATGTCGGAAACCTCCCTGATTCTGTCCTTTCTCCCGATCCGACCCCCATCATCGCTTCTCATCAACCATCACTCGTTCCTCCAAATCGACCTCCTACCTCCTCGGTAAACCAGAATGCCTCCAATAGAGAAATACCACCATCTCACATAACCGGATTGACAGGTCTTAACCTCGATCCTGCCCAATTAGCAGAATTATCAAAATTAGCTTCTACTTCTTTCCCTACTCGTCCACCTTTACCTCCACACAACCACGTTCCTCCCTCTGGTCATGTTTCTGGTCCTCCGTCTTTCTCTGGTGCTCCAGAGAATGGATTACCTCCAAACCCGATTCGGTATAGTTTACAAAATCCTATTAACAACCCACCTTTTCCAGGATCACCCCCTAGGTCATTCCCGCCACATCATTCACCTCCTTCTCATTTCCCTGGTTTACCTGGAAATTTAGGTATACCAAGTCAAAATTCCCCTTCTAAATTCGGTCCATCTCATTCGGTTGGGAATCCTCCTTTTTCTCCACCGAGGAATATGTATCCTACTCGGTTTCCTGAAGGTCTTACTTCCCGATCACCACCGAGATGGGAAAGAGATGGTCGTGGGATGACAAGACAGAGAGACGAGTTTTCTTTACCTCCACATGAGAGGAACCAGGGGGTCTCACATGGGAGAAATCAAAGACCTCCACCACCTCGGGATAGAAGAGGTAAAGATTTTCCTAGAGAACGTGGGAGTGGATGGGGAGAGAGGGGAAGAGGAAGAGGTGGTGGTGGTGGTGGTCAGAGACATGGAAGAGATAGCCGGGATATCTCTTCTTCGGGAGGATTGAGAAGTCCTAGTCCTGATCGTTTACGATCAGAATTCCGAACAACGGAATATCCTGACTCCCTGGGAGATGAAGGAAGGGTAATTGATACGGTGAGTAGAGAAGGAAGAGTTGGGAGAGTGGTACCTATCGTCCAAGAAGGAAAAGATGAGTTCGGAAGAGATTTACCAACTCCTCAAATGGACGATAAAGAAAAGAATGAACAGAAAGAGGAAGAAGGTGGAGAGGAAGATATGGCTTTAGATGATGAAGATGAAGATGTTACACCAAGAAATATAATGAATCATCAAGTGAACACTCCCAATGCGTCTTTACGGAAAAGTGTAGAGGATGAAAGAAGATTTAATTCCGAAGGTAATCAAGATCACTCTGGAGTAAATAAACAGAGAGAAGATTGGGGAGAACAAGGTCAAAATGAATGGAATGGACAAATTGGACGACAAGAATGGACCACACAACCTCCTGTCGACAGTCAAGATGTACAAAACCAATGGATCGAACAAAGTGATCAAAGTGGAGCAAACCCATTTCAAGAATCTTACCCTGCTGCTGCTGTCTCTGCGATGAACGGAATGAGTGGATCAGAAAAGTTTGACTTCGATTTCTCAACATTTAATCCTGCTTCACCTGATTCGTGGATCGCTTTAGGTATAGCTTTCGAACGTACTACAGGTAGACAACCTGATCAATTAGAATTGATGCAGGTCTTATCGGGAGATATGTCCGTATTAGGATCAGGAGGGATGAATATGAGTGGATCGATGGGATGAGGTAGTATAGGTTGTACATTTCAACTGGTAGGCTCAGCTTAAGGGAGGATTTATTTGTGGATGATGGATGAAGATGATATTCTCTCATGTTAGTACATACATGCATTCATGTTTTGTCTAAATCGAACGGATTCGTTCGGAAGAGTGAGCTTTACAGATGACTGAAAAGACTAGGAATCGGAAAAGGAACACACTATGATGTGTGATTCTTTTTGTACAGAGTGGAGGAAGGCAGTCGAAGCAAAAGAAAACCAAATGATACATGCTATGATGGGTTTTATTTTTGTATTGTATTAACCAGCCTGTACGTCAGTCTCCTTTGGTCTCGGTCCAAATCTCGAACAGAAATCTATGCCAAAAAGAGTTTCTATTGTGCGACTTATGACACACGTAATGATATTCAGAGGCAACCTGGAGATCCCGAGAGGATGGAGGACTTATTCATTAGGATGATTTGATAACGAGTTGAAAAGTAAATTCGATGATGAGTTTGAAGGTGGGAGTAAAAAGCTTGAAGACCAATGGATTTACTCACCAATCTAAACCCTCTTCTAATCCTTCTCCCTTTGTCGCACAACTACCTCTCACACTCCACTCTCGTCCTTTTTCTTGTCCCGCCAATCCAAGTTTATCACTTATATCCCCCGGACTCAACGCCCCAGCGACATCTTGCTTGTTGGCGAAAACGAGCACTGGGACAGCTTTGAGTTCATCTTCCGCTAACATGGTGAGGAGTTCGGAACGGGAAGTGGCTAAACGGGCTGTATCGGCTGAATCGATGACGTATATGATTGCCTGGGGTAGTTAGTATGTGGGTAAAGTGTGAAATCACAACTCACCTGCGTATTGGCATAATAACACCTCCAATATGGTCTGATACTAGATTGCCCTCCTAAATCCCAAACTTGAAAATTGATGTTTTTATACGAGACAGTCTCGACGTTGAAACCGATAGCTTATAGGTTAGCTCGATACAAGCAAATTCTCCCCCTTCACTACCCAAAAAGTCGTCCTCTCTGCCCTTTAAGTGACATAACTCTGTCACTAGCCCACTTTGTGGCATTCTAGCACTACTGTACTTACACGACACAACAATGTGTCATCCTAGTGACTAGTGAATGGTGGAAAAGGTACAGATATGGACATACTGGGTATGGTAGAGACTACTTCTCCGATCTGACATTAGCATTCTCCCACTACTTCATATATAAATCCAACACAGTGGACTGAGATAGATAGATACGACTCACTTGTAATCTATATAGAATCGTAGTCTTCCCAGCGGAATCCAGACCGACCATCAAGATCCTCACTTCTTTATCCTTTCCCCAAAAAGCGAGAGAAGTCAGGGATTGGAAGACTTTCGAAAGTGATAAGCCCATTGTTGGGCAGTAACTGATAGTATAGGGGATAAGTTATAGGTGAAGTGGAGGGGGGGAAGGTGTGGCGTCACTAGCTTGTTTCCTGACCCAACGATGATTCTCGTGCAGCCTGTGCAGTCCAAGTATAGAGAGATAGTACGGGATGGGGAGTAGAGACAATTGTGGTGTGCTTATATGATTGAGAATATGAGATAGAAGCAAAAGGAAGGAAGGAAGAGGAAGGGAAGGGATGACTCATTTCGCTCAAATTGCTACGTTGTATCAAGAACGACGCGCCCCGTGCACTTTTGCCACCGTCAAACTCTAAGTTATTCAAAAATTTCAATTTGCTTCCTCATTCGACTTTTGACACTTGGTGCGAGGGAACACAGAGAGAGAGAAACACCAATGGCTGGTGTTGTAAAAGATGACCACAATGATCAGAAAGATCATAAGAGAGTTGGGAAGAAGATCAAGAAGGCGAAATCTTCCAAGATGTCCGAACAGATATTGAATGATCATCCCCTGCGGCATCATGAGACGGTCGAAATTCCTTTGGCGGTGAATGATGAACGACCTGGACCGAGCAATGATACCATTCCGCGGGAAGAGAGTGAAGAGGAACGTAGGGCTCGTCGAAAGGCAGAAAAGGTACATACTCTCAGTATTTCTTCAGTCGAGCTTACAATATAGGCAGCTCGCTCACAGGCCAACCCATCAGCTGACGAGGATTCACCATTGAAGCACGTATCGCCAGACAAAAGAATGCCAGTGGAGATTGGGAAGAAAGAGAAGAAGAAACGGAAATTGGACCTGGAGACAGATGTCGGCCCCGCTCCTGGTAATGAAAGTAGGAAGAAGAAGGAGAGGAAAAGTGACGGAGAGTCGGCTGATCAGATCGTGGTGAATGTTCCGGGGGAAAAGAAGAAGAAGAAGAAGAAGAAAGATAGGAAGGCGAAAGGAGAAGAGGAGGAGGTAATCTTGGATGATAAACCTGTAGATCTTGGCGAAGTGGTCAACAAAGACGAGGTGAAAGAGGTCATTGTCCAAGATGTCTTGACCGATCCTACATTATCAGACCAGGCTAAGAAAGGTGCGTCTGGCGAGTTCTTCAGCCCCGTATACATAACATAATTCACTTTCGGAAGAGTCACCCATGGATTTACCTGTCTCTTTCTCTCTTCGAACATCCTCCTCGTCTCTTCAGCCTACAGGAAACATCATCAGAAACAATCATCGAAGCCCTATGAAGCCCTGTGACAGCGGAGGAGAGAGCTGCCTAGCTCGAGAATGGATGAGATACGGATATGACGAGATGAGCATAACTCACACATCAGCTCTGCATTATGTCCACCTTCATGCTTCATCGCGAAAATCGAACTCGCCTTCGGGATCAATATGGAAATTCAACAAAGCTCGACAAAATTGGCTTTTGAGGAATATATGGAATGATGAGGTATGTCATGTCGTCAACAGGCTTTTCAATATTCATCACCTTCACTACTCACAATCGTCGTCTCTTCTTTCTACACCCAAGCTCTCAGCTCCAGCTCCATTCTTTCAGTCTTCCATCGTCATTTCGTTCCCATTTGAGGATAGGGTGAGGAGTGAACTTTCCCCAAGAAAAGGCTGTCAGAAAGGGAAAATATGTCTGATGAAAAGGTCCCAGATCAATGGGTAGAACCCGCCATAAAATACCTTTGTACGATCCAAGGTGCAGGAAGAACAGTGAGTGTCTTGTCCGCTAGGTAAGAGGGTGACTGACGAAGGAGATTTTGGTCGATACTGCGAAAAGTCATCTGACCCCGTCTGAGACGGCTGCTAGTACTGGGGATGAAGTGCAAGAGGGAGAGACAGTGGACAAATCGGGAGAGACTGATGTGTCTGGTAGAGCGGAGCCCAAAGATGGAGCAGAGGTCGATGGGACAGCTCAGGAAGATACGGGAGCGGACGAGTTGAGAGGATTGAGGAAATTGAGAGCAGGTAGGTTGTTGGGTATGATAGGTGAAGCTTAACGTATCTTCTCCTAGAAACTGAAGATGCATTATCGCTCCTCCGACCTCACTTGACTGTACATGTCTTCTTCTCTTTTTACAGGCTTGCTTTTTCATCCTCGAGATCAACCTCGCCGTCTATTCGCTCTCCCCATAGTAGTCAAGTGAACCATCGAAATGTGGCACTGCCAACTTTCCAACGGAACCCCACACGTTCTCCTGTACCCCGCCCCGCACTGAGGTAAGTCGGCAGCAGATTGTAATCCACCGGCCACTAAGTATCTGACATTCCGCTACAAGTCAGTTCTTAGCCCTACAAGCAGCAAGCAATATGAGTCTACAAGATCGTTTATCAACATTAGAGCCCAAACCACTTTTCAATGCCGCAGCGGGATTATCGTTGGTAGTAGCCGCTTCGACACAAGGATATAGTTATAATTTTGCTCTTTCCGTGAGTCTCGTTCTTCACCGTCTTTTACCAGTCTTGTCTTGATTTCAAGTCTGATTCTATTCACATCTTCTTGAATAATCAATCAGGGCTGGATCACCCTCATCATATGGTCTGAAATGTGTGACTTTGTCGATCACGAGTTTATCCAGTATTAGAGACATGATTCTGTCTCTCTTGTTCTCATGTAGATCAGTGTTAGACTTCTGATTCTGAGAGTATGATGACACGACTTCTTTCATTGTGTACTTGACTAAATCAAATGAGCTCATATGTAGTTGTTCGGGATAGTAGCTTATGAACTTAACACCGTTGGACCATTACGTCAAGTAAGTTCTTTTCTTCTCCTTATTCCTCACATACTTTATCTCCGTCACCCTACTCTCTGGCAATTCATCTACTTACACCTCCATACCTTCCCACATAGATCTTGAAACCTAACAAACAAACAGTAAGAACCTTCGTGATGCTATGTTCATTTGTTGCCCTCTCCAATGGGTACTTCAAAAACGGTCGGGATTGGCCATATTGATCATATAAAGAGAATAGTTTTCAGGGGAGAAGCCATAGACGAAATTGCTGACTTGAGCAGTTTGTCATCTTCACCCTCTCTTCCCTTTTTCTAGATCTTTACACCCTTTTTCACCTCCACGGTGTGATATTCTTCCTTACTTTTTGTTTATCAGGTCTCAAAGTTTTTATAGGATTTAGTAGTCTTGCTCAACTTAAAGAAAGAGGGGGTGATATAAATGTTGGATCATTTGGTGTTGGAGGATTACCTTCTTTCGCTTCTTCTAGACCTGGTAAGTACTTTATCTCCTTCTTCCCTCCTTGGTAGTTCTTCTCTTACTCATATGATCATGCTACCTCACATCTAAATGTTCCTCTTGTTCTCCCTCACCGTTTGGAATCATGTACCATGGTGAGGACACTTCCGGGGGTCCCGAGTCATTTGGCCATTCACTCTCATGCCCCGAAAGATGTTTTGATATCTTTGGAATGAAGTGTGATACTCTTCTTGAATCACAGATTAGATCAGATCAATTCGAAATTATGTTGTGGCATGTTGACACCATCATTGACACGAAGAATGGTCACAGCCTATGCCTGGTGGATTCACCGATTCTACTCCGGCCGTGCCACCTCCCTCGGGCGAACCCCCACAACCTCAATTTCCAAGTGGTGGGTTCAAGCTTGGTGGAGAGGAGGAAACTTCAACTGGGAGAGGAGGTTATCAGGCTATCGCTTGATAGTGAAGGTACTGATGTACTATACTTTACTGTACGTATGCAACACATATTGAGAGAACTCGAGGATGTGGTTACTCGGACTTTGTCAGATTGGGGATGATCAACGATTGCCAGCCTGACTGTGAACAAACCTTATGCCAAGGGTTGCCCAAACTACCACGGAATGTAAGTTGACAAAAAACTCATGTGCTTGCGGAAATCGTCGTGCTCGCAGTGCAACAATGTTACAAAGGACGTAAGTGGTGTATACATGCATGCGGATTCGTAGTGAACATCAATCTCCCGTCAACCTCAGATACCCCTCGATCGCTCCATCACAGCGGTCATATCCAATACCTCACCCAGACTACCACCCCCAGCCATGAAATCAGGAGCGTCGAGAGTTTCATCTGTCCCTTGTAGAATCTCGAGGGCGATGTTGTGAGTTCCGCCTAGAGGGAGTGATGAAGTCGTGGCTACGTTGAGGAGGGGGTGATGAGGTGACTGCGGGTTAGTCGGGAACTCGAGGTCTTATCAACTTCACAGCGGGGTTAGAGTGATGATGATTAATTCTTGACATTGGTAGACGATGAACGGATGTAATGTATCAAAGCAGATGAGACGGTAGAAAGTAGACATTTGAGTGTGTATAAGCTGAATGAAGAACCAGGATCTTGAAGAATAGAAGGGATACTCACATTTGATACCAACTTGAGCTCCATTTCTCGTCTCAACGGGACACCTAGACCAAATGTATTACGCTCTAATGTCTGTTGTAACTCTTTCTGCGTCTTCTGCCACTGTACCATCAGCGGGTCATCTTGGGAGAGGAGGACTCTGGACTGACCTTTTGAAGCCGAGCCTGAAGAGGGCTGACAGTGTTCGGAGCTACAGCATGAGCTGAAGTGGTGAGACCATGACGCAACGCATCGTGGGTTCCGGTTACTGAATGAGCCGTGGCTTGATCTGAGATGACCCGAGGTTCGTTAGAGGTCGTGAGACCAGCAGGGACTATACGGAGGGAGGACTGATTGTTAGCTATGACTCTCTAAGAGGAGATAGCTCACCATGATGAGAATTGAGAGTGGAGAGCAAGAATACCTTAGAGATTGAAGGATGAAAGTGGAGCGAGGGGAATTGAGTTGGAATGTGAGCTGAACACGCGTCCCATTCAAAGTGCCACATCCCGGTGTTACTCGGAGAAATCACAAGCTTGTCGGCTCGTCGGGCATCGTTGGGGGTGCAAACCTGAATCAAACCTGCACCCCTTCCCCCCCCCTCCTCTCTCTCTCTTTCGAGTACAACATCTACTATCGTCTCCTTCTCGTGAGTGTCCTTCTTTGTCTTCTCACTCTTCTCACCCATCCATAACCATAATCGGTAAGACCTTCTTCGTATCATGGAAAGTTCTACCATCTTCTCATTCGAAGTCTTTCAACTTTTCGTGTGAACAAAGCTTACAAACGCTCCTTTCTTCCTCCCCCCGATCCGGAACCCAAACCTCCATTCATCGCCTTTGATTCACTCATCCCTTTGCACTTTCTTTCTTCTCGTCTCTTTTCACCAACGACCTCTCTCTCCGCTCCACCTCGATAAGCGACCCCAATCCTTTAACCCTCCTTTATTCACTCTCAACCATTCTCTCCTATACATAATCCACTCGGCTCCCACTTACAGGGCGCGTTTTCAATACCCGAGACCACCGAGACGCCGACTTTGTACCGTCGTTCATATTCAGAAACACGCTTTATACTCTTCCTCGCATTCTAACGACAAATCTCTTCGCAGGTCGGGTCATTGTAGAGTAGAGAAGCACCGAGCGGGTGCAAGAGTGTTGAGGATCCCTCGATCCAGATCGCATCATTCAGGTGAGTTCTAAACGTTTCCCCCATATTCAACTCTTTCACCTCATTCTCAACCCTGAGCCTACAACCATACACCCGAGGCCTCATGGGAGCACCGATGATGTCCCTTAGTCTCCCCTCACCAACGCATAGCATATATTATGCTCATCATTCATCCTCGTGGTAGCAACGCCCCTCCCGTCTAGCACATTCCAAAGCCTGGGATTGGATCGTACAAAAGCCCCATTGACCCACGCTGACGCTACCTCCTCTTCCCTCCCTTCCTACATCAAACCTTTGTTCTGAACCGCTAAAACATTTTCATACGTCTTCAAACCCGACCACCACCGCCTCCGTGTCCGCTCCTTTGTCCAACTCGCTTTTACAACTCCGCCACCCCCAACGCTTCAACCTGCCTTCTCATCCTCCACTCCATACAAACCCTCGCCCGCCTCTGGCTCGCGATCCCCATACCTCTTCTCGACCTCAACTGGGCCTCACTCTTGATTTCTTACCGCCCATCGCTCCCCGATTGGGCACAATTCCTCAACAACGTAATCATCGAAAACGTCCTGCGGACGACTCTCCTTACGCCCCTCCTATGGCTGTCGACATGCAACCTGCTCAAAACAGAATGTCTTCTCAGACTTTGGACCTTCGAGTCGGAGGCAAGTATAGACTAGGGAAGAAGATTGGTAGTGGATCCTTCGGTGAGTCGTATGATCCCGAGTGACAAATCATTATGCTGACAGTCAGGTGATATCTACCTCGGTGTCAACATCGTCACTGGTGAGGAAGTCGCCATCAAGCTCGAGTCGGTCAAAGCCAAGCACCCGCAACTCGAATATGAGTCGAAAGTCTACAAATCACTCGCTGGAGGTGTCGGTGTGCCATTTGTGAGGTGGTATGGAACCGAGTGTGACTTTCACGCAATGGTGCTCGACTTGCTGTGAGTGCCTTCGTGCCCAGTTTTCATCTCAGCTGACCAACCAGTGGCCCATCCCTTGAAGATCTCTTCAACTTTTGCAACAGGAAATTCTCCCTCAAGACTGTACTCTTGTTGGCCGATCAACTCATCAGCCGTGTCGAGTACATCCACTCTCGCAACTTCATTCACCGTGACATCAAACCCGACAACTTTTTGATGGGAATCGGCAAACGAGGCAACCAAGTCAACGTCATCGATTTCGGTCTCGCCAAGAAGTACCGTGATCCCAAGACGCACCTACACATTCCTTACCGCGAGAACAAGAATTTGACCGGTACCGCTCGTTACACCTCGATCAACACTCACTTGGGAGTCGAGCAGTCTCGCCGTGATGATCTCGAGTCGCTCGCCTATGTCCTCTTGTACTTCCTCCGAGGTCAGCTTCCCTGGCAGGGTCTCAAAGCCGCTACCAAGAAGCAGAAGTACGACCGTATCATGGAGAAGAAGATGACTACTCCGACCGAGGTCCTGTGCCGAGGTTTCCCCAACGAGTTTAGCATCTACCTCAACTACTGCCGTTCGCTCCGTTTCGACGACAAGCCCGATTATTCCTACCTCCGCAAGCTCTTCCGTGACCTGTTCATCCGCGAAGGTTTCCAATATGACTATGTGTTTGACTGGTCTGTCCAGCCCACCCAGAAGGCGACTCAGTTGCAGCACGAGACGGCCGCGGCCGCTCAGCAGCACGTGGATGCCATGATGGCATCTCGCGCCCGCGCTCGTCCTGAAGATGCGGCGGCTCAGGCTGCCATGGACACGCAGCGACAACTTCGCAGTCAGACGAGGATCAACACCCGTGACGCGGCGTGGTAAAACGTCCAATGCTTGTGGTCGTGAATGAGACGGGGAGGGGTCGGAGGAAGCACGTCAACATTGGTTCGGCAGGACAGGGTCAGCGGATCGCGAATACATCAACATGCGACCGTGAACGAGGCAAAACGACCTCGGACCCTTTTTTCCACGAATTTGTCCCATTCCGATACATACCCATGACGAGTTTCCTCTACCTATTTGATACATCTTTATCTTGCTTCGACAGACCGTCTAATCCTTCTCCCCTTCGCGACTCGTATCTCTTCCTCGCGCACCCCTCCACGTTCTTGTCAAATGATCATTCCACACAGCCTCGCCCCAACGATACCGACACGGTTCTCGACACCAAACCTCCGCTCAGCCTCTTCCACTATCCCGTACCAACCGGGTCATCCTTTTCCCACCCTTTCATGTGTATTCCACCGAGCTACATATCTTGCTCATCGCTCATCCTCTGATCGTTACAGTCCTCTCATTTTCACCCTCATCCCTCCCCCTCTCTCATCTTCCTGGTCCATGTGACCCTCGTCGATCGTCGACCGTCGAACAGTATTGACCGGTCGTTATCCCCCCAGCTTTGCGACTCCCCCAACCCTGACCGATAACAGAATTGTTCCATGCCCGCGTTGCTTGTGCTGGCCGAGTCCCCGTATGCCCCACTGTTTGCAGTCTGGGCGCGGGAGGGCGCCAAGTGTAGATAAGTATGGTGTTTTGTTGAATGGGGAGGGAAGGGGGGGGGAGTGGGGATGGGATAGAAGAAAGCGTGATGAGATGTGATCGCATGCATTCTATCCATGTGTATGTGTTGTGAGGTATGACGCTGTATTTCAGGCTGCCAAGAACCGTCTACTGTATCCTCGACGGGTGATTGTCTCCTCCACTTGCAGCATGCAGCGGTGAGTGTGTTGGCAGTATAAGCTATTCCTTCCAACGGAACTACTGACTACCAAGTCGGTACTCGCCATGTTTAACGCCCTTCCCCTTTGTCCTTCCTTCTACTCGCATCTCTTCAACATGGTGACAAGGATCGTACAAGCTGCCCTGGCTCTCCTGCGAGTGACAGACTTCTGGTACTCCCCCACCCATGCCCCACAGTCGCAACAACAACCGATCCCCCACCCACCCACTCCTACCAGACCGTTGGAATGGCGAGACGTTAATTTCTTGAGTATCTCCGATACCCATGGTGCGTTCTCCCTTTTTGTCAACTTTATCCCCTTTGCAAACTTTATTAAAGATCTCTATGTCTGTACTTCTCTTCATCTTACTTCTATCGAGTTGTTCATCCACCCCTACCTCTCTTCACTCCTACCTCTCTCCACTCCTACCTCTCTCCCCCTCTCCACCTCTCCACCTCTCTCCCGCCCCAGCTGACTTCCGATTTCCTCAATGGTACTTTTGACATCTCTCTATGGCTTGTGAATGATTCTGACCATCTTCTGACTAAATTCACGGGTACCACCTGTGACGTTTTGTTGGTTATGTGCAATACTTGTATGAAGCCTTCGTGAATGTACACTTTTGCCTTTCATGAGCTTTTGAAAGGAATGTCAGAGCTGATGTCCAGGTTGGTTATTGGGACATCAACATGTGTGTCTTCTTTCGTATTCCATCTCCAGACCTGTCCATCTTATCTCTCCATATATCAAGTGTCCTCATAGACTATAGTATCTCCCGCCAATCGTCAGCGTATTACGTCGAGTGTACGAGAAGGCGATCACCTATCCGTCGATCATAGTGTCTTTGGGAGTCATGGGGACTGGACAACCCTGCGGAAGAATGTGTAAAGCTAACATGATAGCAAACTTGGCCGGAACCTGTGAGTCTATTCCCTTGATTTCACTTTACCTCTACCTCGAAATGCAAAAGGGGTCTTCCAAACTGGCGGTATCCGGATTTCATCTCGTTGTTCGACAAGTAGCTGGAGACCTAAGCAAGATATCGGTATCTGAGGGTAAACTTGGGACAATTCGCAAGAGAGATGGGCAAAGTCTGTTGGAAGCGAGCTTGGCGTTATCGCCAATGATATTCGATTCAAAGGATAGGCAGATCTCGCCGAGTAATGCTGAGACATAGAATTACTCTGCCGGCTATGGCTCCTTCGCGAGTTTTGTGATACATATGAGGGAAGAGGCCAGGCGTAAAGGTGTAGATTTGTTGCTCATGTACGTCCTCTTCTTCATTTTGTCCACATGACCCTGCTACGGGCATGATCACCAATCGCCCTGTACCCGTTCCTCGTTCTCACCCATCATCTGCCTTCCGTGTGAGCTCAAGTGTCGTACTGGATCTCACATTGAAATGATCTAGAAGAGCTGACTTCATAGTGACGCCGGTGATCATCATGATGGATCAGGCCTTGTCTCTTCGTCGCCCCAATCGGCAGCACGGGCAGACGAGATTTTCGCCATGCTTCCTTATGACGTGATGACGATTGGGAATCATGAACTGTACAAGTATTCGGTAGCTAAACAGCTGTATGATCAAAGGGACATGTGGTACGTCTATGTCTTCCTCTTTCTCTTCATCACTCATCCTCCTCGCGATGATACCAAATTCATCTCGTGGTAATCCCACATCCTTTTCCTTGTTCAAGAATGTGAGACTGCCGCGGGGGAGTATGAAGCACGTTCGCGAGCCGCTTCATTTGACACTCAGGGGTGCCAGATACTTGACAAGCAATGTCAACATCACCATCGAGGAGGATGGGGAAGTCGTCTCCGTTCCCATTGGCGAAAGAGTAGCCAAGTTCACAACGGATATGTAAGCTCTTGCTCGTGTTCACCTCGTTCAGACGCTCAATAACCAGGGGCAATCGCGTGACTGCCTTTGGTGTGATATTTGACTGTACGTCCTTGAAACAACGCTCTCATAAGCTGATAAACAATAGTCAAGGCTCATGGTCGGTACGTCTTACTTCTAGGTGGGAAGGCTGAGCTGATTATGTAGGAATATCACCATTCAACACCCTGAATTCCTGGCCAAAGAGACTTGGTTCTTAGAAGCTATTGAAGACACCCCGGATTACTTGTCAGTTCTAGAGGCCATGAAGAGTGAGCTGACTTTCACAGTGTGTTAGCTGGTCATATGCCTGCCAGAGGTGACGAAAGTGCTCAATTCGGACCTGTATATCAAGCTGTTCGTCATCGACACCCTCACGTGCCCATTTATATATTCGGTGAGATTGGCTGTGGGATTGTCCGTTTCACAGCTGACTAAGATCAGGTGGTCACACACATATGCGGGATTGTGTGCAGTTTGACAATCGCTCCATAGCGTGAGCTTCCATACTCCTGTATCTCTCAGAAATGAACTGAAGCTGCAGCGTGGTGCCTGGACGATATATGGAGACGGTCGCCTTTACCTCGTTAGTTTACTCGCAAGACTTTGTTTACGCGCTAAGTTGGCAGGTCAACATTGCCAGATCAGAATGATACTCATACTGCCCTCAATGTGTCTAGAAGGTACCTAGATGCGAGTCGTCAATCGTGAGTGATTACATCGTCACGGGCTTTACTGAGGGGTGAGGTTTGAATATCACTCTGGACATTCTGTTCATTTTGATACGGTCAGTTCATCAGGTCATTGTCCAATTGTTTTCCGACTCATTATCAGCCGCTAGGGATAGACGTCATCTTGTCTCTCTTACATCTAGCAGGAGAGTACAACATATCTCAACCTCTGGCATTGGCACCACAAGATTACTTTCTTTCCCGGTATAATCCCGCGAATAGGAAGAGCCTACTGAGGCTGTATGGAGAGGAAGTGTTGCCTACTGCCCTGACGGATGAGAAGAGGAAAGGGCCAAGAGTTATCATTGCCAATGCAGGTAGTGTACGATTCGATCTTGTACGTCATTATCTTTCTTTCTTGTACAGAGCACATGATGACCGTCAGTTTCAAGGAAGGTTTGATAAGAATGACGAACTTACCGTTTCACCCTTGTGAGAGTTTCTTCTTGTAGTTTCTCAATCACCAGTACCGGTCTGTTTGACTCTCCCCCACTGACTCTACCTGTCAGGGTATAGATCCTACTCTGCTTCAGTCCTCGATGTGATACTGTATTCGGTCAATCTATTTGCTGATCAAGAGTGACAACGATTTCGTCTATACCCGTTTACCCGCTGGACTGGCTAAGAGGATTCATGAAGAAATGGAAAGAGCAGGAGCTTCCAAATTCCTACCTTCATCTCCAGGATATATCGAAGCTGGCGTTGAAGACACATACAACGCGTGGATGTCAGAACAATGGTCATCATATCTCTTCCAACATATCAAGGGAGGGGGTACGGAACAGACTGCGTTGGAAAGTGTTTCTGAGAACACTCCTACGATGGGGTACGTGACACATGATGCTTGTCCAGGTAAAGGAGATGATATTGAGCATGTTCCTGGTGAGTCATCGTCTCGGAGGAGTCGTTGAGAAGCTGATGTAGAAAGTTCCACATTTTGATAATCAGCCGTATGTTTCCTTCCCTTTGTCGGATATCCTCTTAATCTGTACACCTGAGAGTCTTCTAGTGATAGATCTCTATTTCCTGTTTTCTTATCTCCATGCCACCTTCACGATGATGTCCTCCCTCCATGAACAAGTAACGATAAAAGAAGAAAAACAAAGAATAATAGAAGAAGTGATGTCGTCGAAAGGGTAGATGAGTAAATTTGAAAGAAGAGACTGACGAAAATAGAGATTTCGTTTCTAGTACATTCCCAATGATGAACGATGAAGAAGAATTAGATGTTGTCGTCATGTCTTTCAGTTTGGATGATTTCCGTATGTATCCAATTTCCCATTTTTCCCTTTATATCTCTTTCTCTCTTTATCCATTAAAGTCATAATGTATCATTCACCCATCCTTCTTATCCCATGCTTAGCTAGAGCGACTACTTCATCGGTGTTCATAACGAAGGGGATTTGGATTGAATGTACAAATAATTAATGATCAGTCACAGCCGTTCATACTCTTGATCCTAATTCCAATCTCACCGAGAAGGATTTCAAACCTTATGCCGAACATGTGACAGTGAAGGATGTATTCGGAATTTACGCTAGGAAGAAGTGGAAGCATGGAGATTGAGTTTTATATCAAATAGCATTGATAATTGATCATCTAAGTAGAGTTGTTGTATTTTACATTGTCCTCTTTTGCATGTGTATCACACACACTCTCTTCTATCTTCACCATCCAGAAATTTTCTCCAAACGATCATTCTTACGACACTTCTCAGTCCTTCACGTCTCCAGCTCATTCAGGTTGAGTGTTAATTGGTTACGTGAGAATACCTATCATGACTTAGATGTTATAGATGCATACATGACATGTTATGCACAACTTCTACACGAGAATTACGAACTCGCATTTCCCCTTTCCCACCAACAATCATACGTATAAACTCTATCTACTCCTTGCCAACTCTCAATCACGCAGCTTTCAATGGATTAGGCCACTACTCATCAGCTCTTGACTCAAACATATGACTTAACAAACTCACCCCTTGATAACATAAAAACAATGCGTCGAGCATAGGTCTCACCCTCGGCTGCGCTTCTGTAGTTTCGATACTTTGCAATTGTTTGATCCGATTTTTCAACTTTTTCCTACCACCATGTGCTTCGGCACAATGTCGGACTGTCCTCCCGCATAGAGTCTCGCAGAATGGACACACGGCGCCAGGAGAAGTGATTGATTGACCTGGATGAACCCAACTAGGACCTAAAGGAGCGGGACGGGATAAAAGGTCTTGTAAGACTGAATGCATAGGGTCAGAGGTATCCATTCGGGCTAATGAACTGAAATGTTAGTGTGTCCTTCTGCATTTGTGTGTGGCTTGGTTCCCCGATGGGCAACTTGGTCCATCTCGATAGAGCCCTTGGGATCCTTGATCATATGCCTGTATCTGTGAGAGGTAATACGAGAATACAGGAGGAATGTATGAGGGACAAGGTGGGTTACAGCAAGGGATATAAAACAGAGATGAGACGAAACGTCGTAAGAAATTTTACTCACGCCTTCATACTCTCCGGACCGGCTAAAACAACAGGACATTTCACAGCTATATGAGTCACATCAGAATGACAAATCGTACATCCCAAAGTCCTCTTGCTATTCGGACTTTTTGAGACGGGCTCATCATCGTCGATCACGATGGCCGAATCTCTCGTTCCATGTTTGACAGGACCTCCGTTGGTTAATTGTCCAGGTGCCGGAGCAGTGGGGACGGAAGAGGAAGATGGTATTGGTTGAACGGTAGGTGCTGAAATAGCTGAAGGAGAGGGAGGAATTTGTCTTGTAGAATCGGAAAGGAGCGATTCGCGTAGGTGTATCAGACGATTAATTTCGGTTAATGAGTGAGTCTAGTCGTCAGCAGGTCCAATGAATAATTCACTTTAATTGTGGAAGATGTCTCAAAGTTGAGGATCAATCATCGAAGTACAGCAGGTGAGAAAAAGAGGAAAAGGCAAGAAAGGTAGAGGTAAAGGGAGGGGACGGTTGATCAACTGACCATAGGGTGTTTTCCTTGACCATTTTGAATCTCCTGTCTCGCTCTGAGAAGTTTAGGTAAATCCGGAGTGGCCAAGAATTTACTACAAGCTTCCAATTTATGAGGTCCCTTGCAATATCCACAATCAGCATTGTATGTCTGTGGAGGTTGAGGGGGTTGATGTGGAGGCGGAAGGGCCGGTACTTGAGGAGAAGCATGATTACTCCCTGCTGGTGATCCCGATCCGGCGTTTTGGGCGCTTGTAACTTGTGAATGTTGACGTAGTGGGGAAGGAGTGTAACCATTCGCTCTATTGACACCGTTGGGCATACCATTCTCAGCTTGCGTATGTCCTTGTCGATTTTCTTCCTCTTGACGAGGCAAGCGTTGGTAATGATGCGGATTATCCTCGCGTCGATGGAAGGTCATCATGGGAGGTAATCGAGGTAAATCTTCCAATGGTTTATCAGGAACGACAGGAGCGTTGATGTCGAAAATGTACAAAGCCAAAGCGGAAGTTTTTGACGTGCTGAAATATTTTGGTTGTCCAGAAGCTTCCAACCCTTCATCCGCCTGACGTGCAAGTTCGAGGAACATTCCTCTACGTTCTTGGGTGGGTAATTCCGGAACACCCATCATGGCCCATGTACCCAAAGCTTCTTTCATCCGGAGTTCACGTAAGACATGATATAGCCATTGTAAAACCTGCTGAGCCAGTTCCACCTTTTGAGGATCGTAGCGAACAGGTGCCTTACTCGTAGTCGGCATTGAACGAGACGTAGCGGCGGTAACTCCGGGAAGAGCGCCAGAGGAGAATGGGGCACCGTTGGGGTCGGACTGGGTTCCCTTAGCTCTCTCTGCGTTAAGCGCCTTCTCCTGATCGAATTGTTCCTTGAGCTCTGCATACTTTTGCAATTGCCTCAATTTCTGGACCTTCTTGCGAGCAGCTCGTTGTTCGGGTGTTTCATCCCGCTTTCGTTTTCTCGCTGGTTCTCCGGCAGGCGCAGCGATGTTGACCCCTCGACTGGCGAGCACAGCAGCGGCGGCTTGTAGTCTTGCGGCCGCCTCTGCAGCCTTGACAGGGTCATGTGGACCTCGTTTCGACTTTTTGTCCCCGTCTTCTCCCAAAAGGTCGGCTATACGCTCATTGAAAGACGCCACCGTCTCATCGTCACTTTCCGATTCGGCGTCTGCTGGAGTGACGAATTCCGCGTCATCTGAACTCGGTACAGCTTTTCCTTTCGCTTTCTTGCCTTTATCTTTCTTCTTCTTCGTCTGAGGTGAATCGTCAGAGAATTGAGGATCGACTTTGTATTGAGGCGCAGCAGCTTTTCTCCGTCTCGCTCGTCCTTCCGCTTCGATCGCCTCTTGTCTCTCCTTTTCACGCTGTGCGCCGTCCATGACCAGACGCCACGCATCTTCCATCTCTTCCAGTGGTTCTTCCTCGTCGTCAGGAACTTCTGCCACCTGATCCTTGTCCGCCTCCCAGATTTTAGCGAAACCAAAGGCCATTGATTCCTTTGCTTTTTCTTTATCCTCGACTTCTCCTCTTGCCACAGCTGCCTCACGCTCTTCCATCGCTTTGGCTTCAGTGGCTGCTTCAGTCTCAAGTTTGTCGATGAGCTCATCCACGTTCTTCGAGTTGTACTGAATGTCTGACGGAGCGACCCCATTGGCGTCGGTGTTGTATAACGCCTTGGCACCGTGGAGAAGAATACTGTCGATGTCGCCCTCCTCTGTCTCTTTGCCCATCTGCTGCACGACCAAATGGTCCAGGACCATCTTTTTCTTGCCTTTCCAGATGATTTGTTCTGATTCATCAGCGTTGTCACTCGGACATTATTCAAAGCTCAAGGCATACGGTGGCACATCATATTTCCGCCAGCTCGAGTGCTCCCCAGTACCAGTCACACGATGGTGGATCCGAAGTTCGAAAGTTGGGAACAAAGGAGATCGGGAGAGGGGTAAACGAGGCGAACTGCTCACCCTCAACAGAATCTTTGGCCATGAGCTTGAATACCAAGGTAGGCTTCTTCTGTCCATATCGATGACTACGAGCGATAGCTTGAAGGTCCATATGAGGGTTGAAATCTGGGTCGAACATGATGACTGCGGTGTGAGCAGAGAATACACCGTATTGCTTCCTCATTTGTTCCGAGCGAAAATCATACATATGCACCTCTCAGACGTGGATCATGGTTAACGAGTGATGGACGGACTGAGTTGTAGCTTGAGAGTGACTAGGGAGCCAGGAATTGATGCCAACGAATGATACAATGAGTCGGAGCTTGAAAGTGAGTAGAGAACAAAAGGAAGGACTAACCTGTGTCAGCCGTCGCGAGATTGATCCCAACCCCACCAGCTCTGGTCGTCAAGAGGAAGATGAAGAATTCCGAATCAGGAGCATTGAAAGCGTCCATTGATTTTTGTCTTTGAGCTTGTTGGACGTCTCCGTCAAGTCGTAGGAATTTATATCCTTCACCATAGAGGAAATCTTGAACTGTGGAATCATCAGCCCTCATCTTCAAATTCCATGATTTCTCAACTCTACACATCATGTCATATCCCCAAACTTCGTCATTCTTCCTTTCCGCCCATGACGCCTGAAATGTCCCAAGAACATATGCTTCCCTCATACGTATGATCATCGAGTGTTACTCTCTTTTGACAAAGTGAGGATAATACTCCGAGATACCGGGCATTACGCACTACCTTAATCTCATGTTTGATGAGCAGGGGTTTGAAGACTCGGAGTCAGGGGTGAGGATGAAAGGAAAGGGACGTACTCCTATCAAGGGCGATTTTGAACTGTCTCGTCAGCCATTAGTTGTGGTATGGTTGGTAACACGATGAAAATTTGGCTCGATAGGTGTAGGTAGAACATTTGTAGTGAAAGCACTGATTGAGCAAGCTATCACGAGACTGTCTGAGTTAAGAAAGAGTGTGTGTTTCACAGAAACGGTGAGAAGGGTAGGGATCAGGAAGATTGGGGGTTAGAGTAGGATGGACAAAGTGAAGTGATGAAAACTCACTTGGGAGAATAACAAAACTCTATGTCCTCGTTCTTTCAATTTAGGTAATAAAATCCTCAAAAAAGACAATTTCCCAGACCCATTGATCAACCTTTTATGTTGTTCATCATCTGGTAATTCTTCATTCTCCAACTCTGGAGCTGAGAGGTATGGATGTTGGCATACCTTCCTCAGCTATCCATCAGCTGATGTCATTCTCGCGACAATGCACTTTGTAGTGATGGCTCATGATTGATTGAATAAACGGAAAAGGGTGGAATGGGTAAGGGAGTAAAGGTAAAGTGGTGTATAAGATGAAGGGAAGGAAAATACTGACCTCCATGAGAATGTTCCTCATCGTTTTGACTGGCGCCATCTTGGATGATGACCCTCTTAGAGTTCCCCCTGACCAAACAAATTCCCTCGGTGATCACTCGTCGTTCTGATGTCTTGACAAAGTGGAGTAGTAGAGGTACAGTTGTACGGCGTAAAAGTCGAATTGGGGGGAATTCTCGATTTGATACAGTGGCGGTCTGTGCGTCTTTGCGAATAAATTTCACCTAGACGACGGTGACGGCGATGATGTTAACGACGGTGACAACGTGTTGGTGGAGAAATATCACGCAAATC